GAGTAAGGGTATGAGGGGTGTTACATGACTGAATGGTAAGAACAAGCAGGTTTCCCCCATTTTCTTCTGTTTTTGTTCTGTGGGGTGGCCCTTCCTGAAAGAAGAATTTCTGAAATGAATTCCAGAACTGGAGCATGGGCACTCTGCAACTCCCATCTTTTTAAAAAAAAACCAATTGCATCTTTTCTTTCCTCTGTTTTACTTATGTGCATGTATGTATGTTATGTGCATGTACTTATGTGCAATTACTTATGTGCATGTACTTATGTGCATGTATGTATGTATACCAATGTGCATGTGCCCATATGGCCATCGACAGAGCACTGCACAAAAAGAGGGGCTATCAAAATTCTTTCTGGTATAACCAAACTCAAAAAGAGTATTGATACAGCTTACGTAAAATCACATTATGATTGAATGTTTGTAGTGCGTTATGGGAATCAAACCCGGTTCTCCGAGATTAGAGTCCGCACACTTAACCACTACATGTTATGTGCATGTACTTATGTGCATTTACTTATGTGCATGTACTTATGTGCATGTATGTATGTATACCAATGTGCATGTGCCCATATGGCCATCGACAGAGCACTGCACAAAAAGAGGGGCTATCAAAATTCTTTCTGGTATAACCAAACTCAAAAAGAGTATTGATACAGCTTACGTAAAATCACATTATGATTGAATGTTTGTAGTGCGTTATTAATGCACGAGTGCCTGTTAATAATGCAGAGGGGGGAAAGACACAAATGAATGGAAGGAAACTTGATCTGATTTGCATGCATGGTGTTCTGTAAACAATTTTGAATTTTTTTTAAAAAAACTGAAACAATGGAAGATTTCTCATGCATCAGTTCTGCTTCGGAAACAAGACAGGTAATTCAGAACTCCCACGTCCAGGGGAAAATTGTAACAAGGAGAATTTCAGAAGCCCTCCAACTGAATAATATCTTGTTTTTCTATGCCTGTGCTGTGGAAAGAGAATAGGAGGCTGCATTCTTGCCCTGCACCCATTGACCGGACGAGGGTAAACACATGCAACTGGCCCCACTAGGCTGTCAGTCTGTGGCCCCACATCTCCTCATGCTCAAAGTGGCATTACACCTATTCATTGCAAGCCTCCAAAACTACCCGCATTCCAAATTGCTAAAACTGGATGACAATGTCAACAAAGGACTCGGGTGGGGCTGTGGTTAGAGTGTCAGAATAGGATCTGGGAGACCCAGGTTCAAATCCCTGCTCTGCATTGGAAGCTTGCTAAATGAGCTTGGGGCAGTCACACTCAACCTAACGTATCCCAAAGGGTTTTTGGGAGGATAAAATGAAGGAAGGGAGAACATTGTGAGCTGCTTTGGGTCCCCAGTGGGAAGAAAAGTGGGGTATAAATCACTAAATAAATGAATAGGACAAAGTTTGAGTCCTGGGGCACCTTTAAGACCAACAAAAGTTTAATTACGAGCAGGGGTCAATTTGGGAGGGATCGCGGGGGATCGCAGTTCCCCCGGGTGAGGTACGGGGGCGGGGCACATGACGAAGCCCCGCCCCTGCTTCTGGCCGCCCCGCTTCCGGCCCTCATTCAGCCAGGAGGAGGCAGGAGAAGAGGGAGGGTAAGATGCTTCCTCCCCGCCTCTCCCCAC